TAGTGACAAGGTAGATTATTCCTAAATATTCCAACTCTCGAATATTCAACAAACAGCGTGTTTTGCTCTAATTAGCAAGCCTTTGTATTTACTTAGTTACATGAATATAATCCTCTCGTATATTTAAGAGACTCTGCTTCTATTTGTAATTCACATTTCTATATTTTTTATTTTTATCTTTTTCTTTCTATTTTTTTTTATTTATTTTTTTAATAAAAGATTTTTGAAAAATTTTAATAATTTAAAATCTTCTAAAATTAGTTAAATTTGTCAATATATATTTAATTAATTATTAAAAATAATGGATTTATAGAAGTATTTTAGAAAAAAGCACTAAAAAAATTGAATTTTGAAGAAGTTACAAATAATTGCAGAAATTCAATTATTTTCAAAAGTAATAAAATTCTTATCACAAAATTCAATTATTTTTAAAATTTACAAGAAAATCTCGACAATATCCTAATTATTATCTTTATAAATAAAAAAATTCTTCTTCAAAATTCAATTAATCTCAAAACATTTAATAAAACTCTTGTCAAAATTTCAATTATTTTCAAAAATTTTCCTCATTTCAATGATTTTTAATATCTACTATTTTAATAAAATTACCCAAAAGAATTAAATTATTAAAAAACAATTTTAATAACATTAAAGTTAAGTTAAGTTAATGTTAAGTTTCTTCCCAGTAATTCAATTATTTTCAGAAATAATAAAACTCACGCAGAATTTCAATTATTTTCAATTCAATTTTAATCAAATTCTTTGAAAATTGTAACTATTCTAAAAATTTTTATTAAAATTCCTCAAAAGAATTCAATTATTTAAAAATTTGTAAATAAAATTCTTTATAAGTATTAAATTTTAAGAAATGTTTAATTATTCAATAAATAATTTACTTTTGTATTTAAGTAATTGAATTCTCGTCGAATTTTCTAATAAAAATTGATTTGAAAATGAATTTTAGTTTGAATTTTAGATAATAATACAAAATGAAAATAATGATTTTAACACTTGATCCTCTTTAATTATTATAAAACATAAAGAAATCGATCACTCCGAGTCGAAGACTCGGAGTAATCCTTTTCTTTATGTTTTATAATAATATTTTTAAAGTTTATTAATTTAAAAAAAGTTTGAATTTGAATGTTTTGAAGAATTTTAATTCCTACGGAAAAATAATAATATAATTAAATATTTTAAATATTTAAAAAAGAAATTATTGTCTTCGAATAATTTTACAATTAATAATATTCGTAAATAAATTTCACAGAACATTTTTTCAATAAAATTTTTTCCTTTATTTTCTAAAAATTCAAAAATTTTCATTTTCAATTAAGTTTTCTAATTGACAAATATAGTTCATAACCATTTGTTTCCTATATTTAAAAAAAATTGAATTTTGTTAAAACAATTGAAATTAAGAAACAGAATTGATGCAAATTATTTTCGTATGAAAATTAAGCATTTTCTACCAACCATTGTCACCAAAAAAAAAAACTACAAAACAATTTAAGAAAATTTATTAAAATTTACTTTGAATAGTATATAAGAAAATTTTTGCATAAAAAAAATTTCGTATAAAGAAATAATTTTTTTTGTTATAAAAAGAATTCAAGTATTAGTGACTTTGTTCGGTCAGATGGACTTTTGAAGCATGATAAAATTCTTTTTCTTTTCAAGAAAAAGGAGAAAGAATATTTTCTTATTTATAGATAAACCTTGTCAATCTGACATATAAACCACTTGACAAGGTGGAAAGAAAATTTTTATAGAGAGGAAAAATTTTTTTTGTCAGACAGAATCAGAGGAAAATTTACATATAAAGTAGTGAAATCTTGGTGCGGTCAGACAAAAGACGACTTTATTGGCAAAACGCCAAACGGAGGCGAATTCTACTTTTCTGCTTTTAAAAATGAATAAGGAAAACGTTGATTTGAAAGAAAAATTTTAAATTTAAGTAGCGAACTATCTGTTCCGTCAGACGTAAATCATTTTTTTAACATATATATACATCTTTGAATGATAAATTTTTTTCAGAAAGTCAAATATAATGTGAGGTTCAATTTATTCTTTTTTTGCAAAATGTAAAAAATTGTAATTTTAATTAAAAATATTGATATTGTCAATACATTTTTTGTTTGTTCTACAAAATTACATTTGATGTATAAAAAACTTTCCACTTGCTTCGAGATATTTCACATCAAGTCAGACAAATTAAAATTGGAAAATAAATCTTATGTTCGGTCAAACAAATTAGAATTTCAGTAGTAAAATTTTTATTTGACCAGACAAAATGTTCTTTAAGTAGTAAAGTTTATATTTGGTCAGGCAAATTATTTTTTCAGTAGTAAAGTTTATATTTGTTCAGACAAATTATTTTTTAGTAGTACAGTTTATATTTGGTTAGAAAAATTAGCTTTTAAGTAGTAAAGTTCATATTTAGTCAGACAAATTATGCTTTGAGTAGTAAAATTTATATTTAGTCAGGCAAATTATTTTTTCAGTAGTAAAATTTATATTTGGTCAGACAAAATATTTTTTAAGTAGTAAAATTTATATTTGCTCAGACAAATTATATTTAAGTAGTTAGGTTTTCACTTGACCAGAAAAATTAAGTTTTAAGTAGTGAAGTTTATGTTTGGTCAGACAAATTATTTTCTCAGTAGTAAAGTTTATATTTGGTCAGGGAAATTATTTTTTCAGTAATAAAATTTATATTTGGTCAGACAAAATATTCTTTAAGTAGTAAAGTTTATATTTGGTCAGGCAAATTATTTTTTCAGTAGTGAAATTTATATTTGGTCAGGCAAATTATTTTTTCAGTAGTGAAATTTATATTTGGTCAGACAAAATATTCTTTAAGTAGTAAAGTTTATATTTAGTCAGATAAACCAATTGTTAAGTAGTAAACTTTATATTTGGTCAGGAGAATTATTTTTTAGTAGTGCAGTTTATATTTGGTCAGAAAAATTAGCTTTTAAGTAGTAAAGTTCATGTTCAGTCAGACAAATTATGCTTTAAGTAGTAAAATTTATATTTAGTCAGACAATTTAAGTAGTTAGGTTTTCACTTGATCAGAAAAATTAAATTTTAAGTAGATAGTCAAGTTTATGTTTGGTCAGAAAATTTATTTTTTCAGTAGTAAAATTTATATTTGGTCAGACAAATTAGCTTTTAAGTAGTAAAGTTCATATTCAGTCAGACAAATTATGCTTTAAGTAGTAAACTTTATATTTCGTCAGACGAATTATTTTTCAGTAGTAAAGTTTATATTTGGTCAGAAAAATTATTTGTTTAGTAGTGAAGTTTATATTTTTTCAAACAAATTTCTTTTTTGAGAGAGAAATTCGTTTCTAACGCATCTGTTTGTCATCCCTTAAGTTAGTTTCTCAAACGTGAAAATGTAATTAACTGTGCATGCTGAAGCATATATTTATTGCGTGTTGGATTTCGGTTAAGTGAAGTCATTAAGTTACATAAGTTAAATCAAGTTATGCCAAGTTAGCTGTTTGCTGAATTTACAAGCACGCGTAAGACTCCGGGGAGAGGTTGAAAGGGAGAGAGAGATGGAGATAGGGGAGAGTGAGTGAGTGAGAAGTGAGTTTGAAGTTAACCTTATATAGAATATGAGGTTCCAGAGCCTAACCCTTAATCCACATCAGTTTCGTAAGCGACCAAGTTGTGATCCCTCGACACTGCGCCCCAACCCATCGAGTTTCTCGACTTTGACTTATAAGTAAAGGTGGATCGTCGATCCTCCTTCCAAACTTTTAATGGCCCTGCGATGAAATTTTCATCAGGATCAAAATAATTTCCAATTCTTTCACGAAACACGAAAATTCCTCTTTCGCATGACTCTCTCGCATTTGGAAAATAATTTTCGTTTATTATTATTATTATTATTATTATTATTATTATTATTATTATTATTATTTTAAATTATGATTATTATCGCTTTCTCTACATTGTTATTTAATTTCTATTCTATTTATATTTCTACTTAATGTTTTATACCTATTTTTTATTTTATTTCTATTTTTTATTCTCTATCTATTTTTATTTTATTGATATTTTTGTATTTTATTTTCATTTTTGATTTTTTTGATAATTCATATTTTGTTTATTAATATTTATTTTCTATATTATAATTTCTGTTTTATATTTTATTCATATTTTCTTTTCTACGTTTTAATTTCTATTTTATATTTTCCTTTCTACGTTTTAATTTACTTTATAATTTAATTCATATTTTATATTTTCTTTTCTATTTTTCAATTTCTGTTTTCTATTTCTCTTATATTTTAATTTAAATTTTATATTTCTTTGATATTTTTTACTGATATTTATAAGCCTCTCAATTATTTTTAAAATGATTCATTTTAGTTTTACTTTTTTTTACGTTTAATGACAATTTTATTCTTTTATTTAATATTTACCGTTTTAGCTTTTTCTATTAAATAAATAACTCTAAATCTGCTTTTTGATATAATCAGGTATTTTTATTAAAATTATTTTTCCCGTAAATTATTTCTATTTACACAGATTAGTTATTAATAGATTATTTTTTATGTATGTTTTTTCTATTTTTATTATTCTTCTATTTAGTTTTATTTGTATTTTTTTATTAGAATTTTTTTAACATGTATTTTTTACATGTATTTTTTATATGTATTTTTTTACATCTATTTTTTGTATATATATATTCGTATTTTTTTAATTGTATTCTTTTTGTATTTCTTTATTCGTATTTTTTTATTTACATTCTTATTAATTTTTTTTCTTCGTACTGTTTTTTATTTGTAGATTATTGGTCATTTATTTATAACTCGTTCTATAAATTATTTGTATATGTATCTGTAATTTTACCTCTTTATAAAAAACGAATATTTAATGAAAAAATTGATTCTCTTTTTAAAGATTCTTTTTTTAAATAAAAATTACTAGAGAGAGTGTGTGGTTACGATTTTTCCTTAAGATTTCGTTTTAATTGCATGTTTCAGAAAAGCATTAACAATAACTAACCCGCAATCAAGCTAAAGCATTATGTCTTCACAAAGGAAACCTCATCGTCACAAGTCTTGAAAGGAGAAAGCACAATAAAGTGGTCTTTCAGGTAAGAGCTAAATTAAGAATCTATACCTACATATATATATAGTTGACGTGAGTGTCAATTAGTATAACTACTCATTGTTATTGTCATTCATTTCTCGGGTAAAAATATCTTTACAAATTCTTTTATATCTAAATTTATTTTTCCTGTTTTATTTTATTATTTATTAGGAATTATTATATATTCTTATATCGATTTTATTCGCTTGAATTTTGCCCCTTTTTTTAATTTTTATTTCGTCTTATTTTTATTCCAGTTAACAAAAAAATAAAACAACAAGTAGTCAAATAAATTAGAAATTAAGTAGTAAAATTTTCATATCGCCAGACATAATTGTTTTTAAGTTATAAAATCTATATTAGGTCAGACAAAGTAGATTTTAAGTAGTAGAGTTTATATTTAGTCAGACTAATTATTCACAAGACAAATTAGTTTTTAAGTAGTAAAGTTTATATTTAGTCAGACAAAATTATATTTTAAATAGTAAATTTCTTATTTGACCAAACGAATTATTTTTTGAGTACTAAAGTTTATTTTTGGCAAACTATTTTTTAAGTAGTAAAGTTTATATTTTGTCAGACAAATTTCATTTTAAGTAGTAAGTTTTATTTTTGAACAAACGAATTATTTTTTGAGTGATAAAGTTTATTTTTGTCAAACTAGTTTTTAAGTAGTAAAATTTATATTTTGTCAGACAAACTATACTTTGAGTAGTAAAATTTATATTCAGTCAGACAAACCATACTATAAGTAGGAAAGTTTTTATTTAGTCACAAATTAAATTTTAAGTAGTAAAGTTTATATTTAGTCAGACAAATTATAATTTAAATAGTAAATTTTATTTTTGACCAAACGAATTATTTTTTGAGTAGTAATTTTCAATTATTGACAAACTAGTTTTCAAGTGGTAAAGTCTATATTCTATCAGACAAATTTTATTTGAAGTAAAATCATTTTAAAATAATTCGTTTGGTCACATATAAAATTGACTACTTAAAATAAAATTTATCTGACTGAATATAAACTTTACTATTTAAAATCTAGTTTATCAAGAAATAAACTTTACTACTCAAAAAATAATTTGTTTAGTCAAATATAAAATTTATTATTTAAAATATAATTTTGTCTGACTAAATATAAACTTTACTACTTAAAAACTAATTTTTCTGATGAAATATAAACTTTACTACTCAAAATGTATTTTGTCTGACTAAATATAAAATTTACTACTTAAAAACTAATCTTTCTGACGAAATAAAATTTGTCTGACTAAATATAAACTTTACTACTCAAAAAATAATTAGTAAAATTTATATTTTTTAAAATAAATTATTTTTGAAGTAGTTACGTTTATATTTCGTCAGAAAGATAAGTTTTTAAGCAGTAAAGTTTATATTTAGTCAGAAAGATAAGTTTTTAAGTAGGAAAGTTTTTATTGAGTCAGACAAACTATAATATAAGTAGGAAAGTTTTTATTTAGTCAGACAAATTATATTTTAAGTAGTAAAGTTTATATTTAGTCAGACAAATTATATTTTAAGTAGTAAATGTTATATTTGACCAAATAAATTACATTTTTGGAGTAGTAAATATTATTTTTTGACAAACTAAATTTTTAAGTAGTAAAATTTACATTTAGTCAGACAAATTAATTTTTATTCCATTTAACAAAAGCAAAAATAAATTATTTCCTTCAAATTAGTAAACTATTGTTTTTATTTAATTTGAATATTATCAACAGAAAAAATCGACGTGGTGGTGGGAATTGAGGAGAAAATAGAGTCAAGTCAAGTTCATCTGACTGAGAGAAAAAGAGAAGCAAGCTACGTGGGAGGGACTGAAATTGTATTCCTGGGCCCGTCGTGGTGTTGTCCGCCGGGGGTGGCGGTGGCGGCACAGGGGGCGGGGGTGGGAATTGTTGTCGACGACCTGAATTTGCTAGGCGTGGGGGTGGCGGTCAGGGGGCCCCTTGTCTCACCACCATCAGCTCCTCTGTTGCGGGGAGCGCGGGGGGCTGCGGCCCCGTGGTGGGGCTCCCCTCCTACAAAAAGCGACAAGGTAATTCAGAATTTATTCTCTTTTTTTTCTCTTTCAATACTGAAAAAAAATTCTAATGTTTAAACCCTAACTAGACTTATATATTTAATGTAATTAAAAGTATTAAAATAATTATATTTTTAACCTGAAGCTAAACATAAAAAGTGTGCTAAAGCTAATAATAGAAAAATTAAGCTGAAGATCAAAATAAAAAAAAAAAAATGTTAACTAAAGCTAAAAATAGTTAAAAATAATAATAATATCAATAATATAATAATATTAAAAATTAATATAATTTTAAAATAATTTCTTATAATTTATAAGGAACAGATAATAATAAAACAATTACTTATAAAATTTATGGTAAATTGGTAAATACAATAATAAAATTACATTTAATTATAATTAATTAATAATGAATTATTATAATTACTTATAATTTATATACTAAATTCTATAGTAAATATTCTATATAGTAAATGTGAGAATAGAATAATTATTCGTAATTTATAATAATTAATAAAATTAATAAAATTAATAAAATAAAGCAAAATTATTTCAATATTACTTCCTATTGAAACTCGGACTCGACTCAAATGCTTGATTATGAAGATTAAAAGTAATTATAAATTCTAAAGGGTATGAATATAGTGAAGGCATATAATTCATGACAATATGCGGTGGTAACCAGCTGGAGCGCCGATTTCTACTCGTTAATTTTAACAAAAGGAAGTGAACGAAGTAAAAGCAGGGCAGTACATTATAAATTACGAGACACATCTGTGACGAAAAAAAAATTGAAATGCAAATTTTTCTCGCAACAAAAAAATATTCATTCTTACCCAAAAAATTTTTCTATACCTTGAATTTATTATTATTAGCCAAGTATCAAAATGTTGCGAAGCAACGTTTTGATACTTTTTTTTGTCTCAATTCTTTTTTATCTCTATTTGATAAATTTTATAAATTTAAAAAATTTTATAGTGTGAAATGAAAAAAATGAATTTAAAATTTCGAAAATTGTTTATAAAAAAATGAATTAAAATTTTTTTGAAAATATGTCTAAGCAGACATCAAAAATAAAAACAATTTAGTAAGCCGATATAAATTTATATACATTTAAAATTGCATAATAGTTTTTTTCACCTATTCGACATGAAATACGGCCAATTATTGGCACATAACATATTAAATTGTCAACTATTATTATTTGCCCTCCCAATTTTAGATGAGTCGAATCGTTTCAAAAGTAATTATAAATCCTGACCCAGATGAACGTATTGAAATTTAATTATTGAAAATTTAAAGAAACGAGAAATTAAATTAAATTCCACTAGTCCGAGTTTTAATAAAAGTATAATAAACAATTTGGAAATTAATAAGTAATGGTAAATAATAAATGAGTGGATAATAAATAAGTAAATATAAAATAATAAACAATGAGTAAATAATAATTTAGTAAATAATAAATAAGTAAATAATAAATAAATAAATAATAAATCATGAAAAAATAAGTAAATAATAAATGAGTAAATAATAAATAAATGAATAATAGATCATAAAAAATAAGTAAATAATAAAGAAGTAAATAAATAGTAATCAAATAATAAACAATGAGTAAATATTACATTAAGAGCAAATAGCGAATAAGAAAATTAAATGATTAATTAACAAACAATAAGTAAATAATAAATTAATAGCAAATAATAAAAAAAGAATAAATAATAGATAGAAAAGAATGAGTAAATAAAAAACAATGAGTAAATAAAAAACAATGACTAAGTAAAAAAAAAAGTAAATAATAATAATAATAATAAAATAGAAAATTCCAGACTGTAAAAAAGTAATTTTGTGTGGAATTTTTTTTTTCTAATTTTGATGTGCAAGGAAGCGGAGCAGCATGGGGCCGAGGGAGCAAGGGACGGGGGGGTAGAGGACGCGGGGGCGGCGGTGCGAATTTTTCGGGTTCCGGCGTCGCCCCCGCGAATTATCACCCAGGACTTGAGGGTGTCGGACCAGGATTGCGTGAGGTCGTGAATATCCTCGGCGAGAGGAATCAAATTGGAACTCTCAGTGGGGTTGGTCCACCGCCTGGCACATCGGATACGGACGGAAGTGGCGATGAGGAGGAGGGAAACTCCCCAAGAAAACCGCCGAAGCCACTTTATCGGAGGTTAATCAGTTATGTTCGTCAGGCGTGGACTGGTGTCAAATTTGCATTAGGTATCTATTTCTTATCACTATTATTAAATTATTATTATTATTATTATTATTATTATTATTATTATTGTTAAATAAATTACTATTATTATTTTTATTTTTTATTATTATTATTATTATTGTTAAATAAATTACTATTATTATTTTTATTTTTTATTATTATTTTTATTATTATTAATATTATTATTATCATTATTATTATTATTATTACTAGTATTATTATTGCTACTGTTTTTACTAGTATTATTATTGCTACTGTTTTTACTAGTATTATTATTACTAGTATTTTTACCTCTATTATTGTTACTAGTATTTTTACTTGTATTATTATTACTAGTATTTTACTAGTAGTCTTATTATTATTACTAGTATTTTTTATAGTATTATTATTTATATTTCAATTATTAATATTACTATTGATTTATTAAAAAAGAAAAATTTTTATTATGTCAATTTTACACCATGAAAAATTGTAATATGATGTAATTAATTGTATAATAATATAAATAATAGTAATAATAATAATTAATAATAATAATAATATTAATAATGTAAAAAATAATAAAAATTTAGTCTATTATTTTCATCATTATTAGTAGTAGTAGTAATAGTATTGTTATTATTTTTATTTTTATTTTTATTATTTACTAAAGTTATTTTTATTTTTATTGTTAACTATTGTTATTCTCATATACAATAGTCAAGGTGTATAAATATTTATATAATTTAAAAGACCAAAAACGCTTTCGATGTTTCAAAACCACTAACCCTTCCTTTTCGATATATCCAGCTGACATGATGTGCAATATAGGTATTTAATCGAAGCATGATCACTAACGCTTTACTAATTAGTTTTTTTCCTTTCTTATTCCTACTTTTACGATCTAATAAATTTTCCGAAATATTCGCAACTTTATAAATTTATTCTGCTATTTTTTCATTTATTATTTATTTTACATTATTTGTTTAGAATACTTTTTCTTTTTTCTAAATTTTCAATTTTTAGCCATTTTGCCTTTGTAATTTTGTATATATTTTTCCCCCTAAATTTACCAACATTTTTTACAAATTCCTTCTCTTTTTTAATCTCTCTAGAAAACCGGGGCATAAATAAAGAAAAATTCATGAACGTTTTCGAAAAATATTAATAATTAAGTTATAAAAAAAATGTGACGATAAAATAAAATAAGCGATGCGAAATAAAATTATTTTTACAATTCTGGAATTCTAGTAAATTTTTAAATCATCTAAAATTGTCTCCTCGGCTTTCGCCAAAAAAAAATCGATTTTCTTTTTTTTTTTTTGGTGGTTAGAAAAAAAATACTGAAGCGGAATAATTATATTGGATTCGACGAGGATTCAAAGTCAAAAAGTGATAAATAGAGTATAGAAACGAGGAGAGGAAATTTATAGTGGAAAAGTAGAACTGTGAGCAAGGGAACCAATTTATTTCAGAAACTTTGAAAATGGTGTGTCCACCTCTCGTTTAATGGGGTTTCAACGAAAGTTTGAATAAAGGGAGAGTGTACTAAAAAATCACACTCCACAAAAAAAAAGAAAAAAAAAAAAAAAAAAAAAAAAAAACCAATATTCATTTACTATAAAATTTCATCCATTCACTCTTTTTACGATCACTACTGTGGATATAGGATAGCTCGTTATTTTTTTTCTATAATAAAAAACAAACTACTGAATTTCGTTTAAAAAAGCATAAACTTCGAGAAAATTATTATAAACTCTATTTTTAGTTCAAAATGTTTAAATATTTTTAGCGTTAATATTTTTTCCCAGTCGTAATATTTTTATGGTGATTTGGTGATATTTTTATCTTAGTTTTTAAGTTTAGTTTTTTTTCATTTTCGTTAGTTTTAGTAAATTATTTTTACTTTCAGTTATTAGTTTTTAATTTTTGATAAACTGGAAACTAACTGAAATTGAAAAAAAATTTGCAAAAGTTTAAAAATTAAATTACACTACATTTACTAAAAAAAACTAAATATTTTTTCAGTTTATTTTTCGTTTTTCTATTTAAATCTCTAAATTCAATTTTCTTCTCTCGATAAATTTTATAAAGAAAATATTCTAAACTAAATAATTACAAATTTTCCAGAAGTTTCTCAATATCTTTGAGTTAGATTTCTTACTTTGATGACCACGAAACTGGTAAGTTCCGTTAAACTGCTGTGAACTTCTTGTATAGAGTCGAAACTTCATCATCTACTGCAACTTGTGCAATAATAAATAAATGAATTGTAGAAAACAAAAACTAAAGAAAATTAAATTCAAAAATATTCATCTCACGAATTCCTAGAGTTTGAAATTTAAAATGTTTTTTAATAAAAAAGAATTGTAGTAAATAAGAAACAATTAATTTATAAGAACTAAATAGTTTATAAGAAAATGTATTACTAAAGAAAACTGAAATTAATAAAAAAAAATTAGTTAATAAGAACAATCAGTTAATAAACAAATTTTAAAAAATTGGATAATAAAAAAAATTAGTTACAAAAATTATAGGTGATAAAAGCATTTTTTATTAAAAAAAAATTGGTTAACAAAAAAATTAGGGGAAAAAGTTAATAAATTAGTTAACAATAGAATTAGTTAAAAAAAATTGTAGGTAATAAAAGATTTTGTTAATAAAAAAATTAATTAATAAAAAGATTATTAAAAATAAGTTGTAGTTGAGAAAAAAAATTATTGTTGATAAAAAATCAGTTAATAAAAGCATTTTCTATTAAAAAAAATTGGTTAACAAAAAAACTAGGGGAAAAAGTTAGTTAATAGAAATATTTGTTAACAATACAATTAGTTTAAAAAAATTGTATGTGATAAAAGAATTTATTAATAAAAAAATTAGTTAACAAAAAAATGAGTAAAAAAAATTGTAGAAAAAAATTCTTGTTAATAAAAAAATAGTTAACACAAAAATGTATAATAACAAAATTTGTAAAAAAAATTGTCCTTAATAAAAACATTTGTCAATAAAAGAAATTAGTTAACAAAAACATTATTAAAAAAATGTAGTTAATAAAAAGAATGGTTTAATGAAAAAAAAAATTGTAGTCAATAAAAGGTATTAGATAATAAAAGACATTATGGTTAATAAATAGAATTAGTTAATAAAAAAATGATAGTTAATAAAAAAAATTATACTTCAAATTCGTGTTTAAAAAAGAAACATTTTTTCTTCTCAGTGAAAAACTGTGTATATTTTATTTAATTCCACGTAAAAAATAGCGTGGACGAAAAATTTGTACAAAATCGTAAATAGACACAAATGTTGACATAGAGCTTTGAAAAATTCAAGGTACATTAAAATTCCAACCACAAGTTGGATATAGTACAGGAAATAGCTGCTTTGTGAAGTCTCCGGTTACAATGTCAGAGTGTACAATACGGTTTTTTTTTTAAATAATCAATTGTAACAGGGCCGCAGAAAGAGGAAATTCTAAATTCATAATCCTCGAGGAAGAAAAACCAAATCTGTATAAATATAAAAATTAATTTTAAATATATAATTTAGTATTCATATGATTATGTACTACAAATATAATAATTAATAAAAGAAAATAAAATAAATAAAAATAAAATAAAAATTATTATAAATAAATAAATAAAATAATTACAAATAAATGAAAAAATGTTATCGATTTTAGAAAAATTTTGGAAATTTAAAAATTTATTTTCATGAATATTTTCCCGAAATTTTTGCAATTAGAAACGATAGAATACAGAAATTTTTTTTTATATTTTTCAAAAGTTTTAAAAAGCTTCAAAAAAAAGATAAGAACAAGATCAAAAACGTTTTTTTTAAATAACAAAAAAAACGTGTCGACTCAAATTCTCTTAGGAAACTTTCTTTCGGAGTTTTATATAAAATTTAAGACTTTTAAAACTCTTGAAAGTGTTTTTCAAGAAAATTTCTAAATGCCAGGGAAAAATATTCTTATAAATTGTAGGAAACTTGAGAAAGTGAAAAAAGTTTTTCCTTCTTTTTGTTTAAATTTCCAAATTTCCGAGTGATAAATATGAAAATCACGAGTGTAAAATACTTCATAATAAATTTTACACATGGCTTTTTATGAAACAGCAGTTTTATGTTTAAATTTTCACCGACTTCATCATCAATATGTGGTCAGCTAATGAAAATAAATGTTGCACACACTTTTATGAGCAAAAAAAAAAAAAAATACAAAATTTGCCATTGTTTTTTTAACATAAAAAAAGAAGAATGTCAAATTTAGGAAAAATTTGATTTCAAAAAATGTTGAGACAAAAACTCTTTTTTCGCGTATATTTATTTTTATATTTTATCGTCTATTTTTTCAATATATTTTTTATACTTCTTTGTTTATTTTATTTTTATATATTATATTTTGCATATAATTTATATCTATTTTATTTTTTACATTTTATTATATTTTATTATATTTTATTCATATTTATTATATTTTTCATATATTTTATTTTATATTGGTTTTTTATTGAGTTAATTTTATATATTTTATTTCGTATATATTTTCTATTTATTTTACACTTTCTATACCTTTTATACTTTTTATATTTTACTTTTTACCTAATTTTGCCTTTAAAAATATTTTACTTTCGTAATCATCTCTTGACGTGTATGAACTTAATTTTTCATTTTCTCCTCTTCACGGAGAGCATTAGATAAAAATATTGCCAGGCAATATAGAAATCAGAATTATTTATAGTTGTAGAGACATTATTAATTTTTTTTTTCTTCAGTGAAAGTATTTCCAGTGCTTTAGAAATACCTTCGAAATTTCTATAAATTCTTTTCGAAATCTATTAGTTCTAATAATAACTAATACATTTCGAAAAGAATTTACAGAAATTTCACAATTTTTACACAATTATAAATTAATAAAATTAAAATTTTGAATTAAAAAAGATTTAAAATTTAAAAAAAAAATTATTTAGCTACAAAAAAATCCCCCCCTATAATTAATGTACTGTTAGTACATAATTAACATACTTTAATTACATAATTAATATTTGTAATTATATAATTAATAATTAACATATTGCTATTATTTTTTTGGAGCACCTCCCGTATTTTCAGAGTTAAAAAATATTTCCAAAACAATTATGCTCCCTGATTTTTTTTTCATTTATTTTTTTTTTATCCGAGACTTGTCAACTTGCAAAAAAACATTACGCAAGTAAGCGTGACTGGATCTAAATATAATCAACGACTGAAACCTCATTTCCTAACAAACTCAATTTATCGAGTCACGACATCGTTATTAAATACTATTAGTCAGGTCAGAATTTCATTGGACAGTGGAAATCTAATAATGGAGAAAAATAAAAGTTCAACCGAAAATTTAATGATGTATATTTTTTTTCCTACACGTTTCACATACACATAAAATGTTCCTCTAAAGTGCCCAAAAGCTCCTTCTTAATTGCTTCTGTCAAATATGTAATCCAATAGATATAAAAATAGTATATTGAAAAAATTCTCTCTCTCTATTCTACCAGCGAGCAATTTAATTTAATTACCTGTCGTTTTATTTCTTTAAAAGTCCTTTTTACTTGGCCCTAAACATTTTATTTTCTTAATATTAAACTTGTCGCAATTTTTTTTGGGACAATTTTCTTTACCTTTTCATTTCTCTATTTCTTTATTCTTTTTTCTATTTCTTTTTTTCATTTTTCTATTTCCTTATTTTTTATCTCTCTTTTTCTTTATTTTTTATTTCTACAATTTTTTAAAAACATTTTTTCTTATTTTTTATTTCTACAATTTTTTAAAACATTTTTCCTTATTTTTTATTTCTCTATTTCATTATTTTCTTTATATTAGGCCTCGAACTGAATTTAGAAATAAAAAATAGTACCGAAAGTGTCACAAAATATTCGTAATAATTGCAAATTATTTATTTACGAATAAATTGTGTTTAAATAAAAAGCGTTATAAATATGCATTAAAAACACAATTTAAATTATTTTACCAATAACATTGTTTGCATTTTATTAATTATAAAAACATTTTTGAGAAATAAAATTGTGATTTAATGTCTCCACCTGCGAAAGCCAAGGTCACCGCCAGGTGGCAGTTTAGTTCTTTCCTGGAATTTTTCCTGCCACCTGGTGGCGACCTTGGCGTTCTCAAGTGGAGAAATTAAATCACCATTTTATTTTCTTATCAAATTAAGAGACTTTGACAATTTTAATAAACGGATTTCAATTTTTTTCTCCCTTATAATATCGATAATTTTACCGTCTCCACTTTTTTTAGTCTTGGAATTAATTTTTCCGGTAAATAAATTAATTTTTAAAAACTTCCATTAGGGTTAATTAATTAATAAGTAAATAAAAAGTAAATAAATTAATTTTTAAAAACTTACCATTAGGGTTTTTTTTTAACGAAATAAGTATCATTAGTAACTAATTTATAAAAATAGAAAAATAGAACAGGAAAAAAATGTTCCAAAAAAATTTGTACGAAACGTGTATTGTCTTTTTATTCCTTCATAATCAACTCTTTTTTTAACTTAACATTTTTTTTTTTACCCTCACCTTTTTGTTTTACTTTCACAGCAACATTTACCAAGCGGGTAGCATCATTTTTTACAACCAACCTTTTACAAGGAAAAATATACAATATAATAAAAAGCAAAACAAAAAAAAGAAAAGAAAACTGTAGAATCAGAAAGACAAAAAAACGAGAAGTCGGTTATCTTGAACAATTTTCTCTGTTTGTGTGAGAAACAACTTTCTTATCTTGCGAGAGAAGAAAATGAAGTCTCCTTTTTTACAATTCTCGCAGAGTAAAACTCGAGTTGCACACACCATCACTCGCTTTTCCTCTCCCCCCTCTGTCCCCCTTTTTTCCCTCTTTTTCTCAATATTCTCACCCATTTTCCTTTTTCCCCCTCGCACTTCCATTTTTCATCATTCCCGATTTAACCGCGTCTCCTCTTCTCAAATCCAGATACCACATTTTTTTTTTCTTACTTTCCTATTATATGTAAGAAAATTTCAAGAAAAGGGGAAAAAAGAAAACGATTCACTGTTCTCAAATCTCTCATCGCAATTTTCTAGTTTTATTCTTTTGTAAACTCAATGCACGCGCCCTTGCATTTAAAATTATTTCCCATTACTGAAAAAATTTTTTTTTTTTAGGGTCCAATCTCCAATTTCTTTGAAAATAAAGAAAATCTATTTTTGACAAATGAAAAAAGAAATGAAGTTTAAATTAATTTTTTTCTATATTTGTGAGAATAGGAAATTTGCATCTGTAAAATTTATAAAATATTTAATTAATTTTTTTCTATATTTGTAAGAATAGGAACTTTTGCATCTGTAAAATTTATAAAATATTTTGATAAAAAAAATATTGTCAATTTAAAAAGTATTATTAAAAAATAAATTATTTAAAAGAAGGACCTTATAAAAGGTCTATTATAAAAGAAAGGTTAATTAAAAAAAGGATAATTAAATAAAAGTTTAATTGAAAAAAGAAATGGTTAATTTAAAAAAGAATCGAATTAGAAATAAATTGTTAATTAAAAAAAAGAGTCCAAAGAAGTTTAAAAAAAGAGTTTGAAAAAAATTGTTAATTTAGAAAAGAGTCAAACTAGAAAAAAGAAAAAACTAATTTAAACTACCATTTAGATAAAATTACCATAATTACCATAACTCTATTGAATTAATTACTATTGACCCGAATCGGCATTGTAAATTTCCATTATGTAAAATACACTTGAATACGTACATTTTACTTATTAATTATTGCAATAATAATAATTAATTTTACTTATTAATTATCACAGTAATAGTTAATTTTACTTATTAATTAATTAATTGTTACGAAAATAGTTAATTTTATTTATTAATTTATTAATTATTACAAAATTAATTTTATTATTTATTAATACTATACAGTAATTAATTAATAATAATAATTTAAATTTAAATAAATAATTAATAATAATTTTATTTATTGACTATTAGAGAAATAATAATTTAATATACTTTTAACATTAATCATTAATGATTATGTGCTTAATAAATGCTTAAATCGACAATTTTATTTTTAAAAAATATTTTTTCAAATTTATTAGGTATTCAATTATAATTTTATAATTAGGCGTTATAATTAAATAATTATAACTTTATAATTAGACCTTATAATTGAATTACAACAATATATTATTAGACTTTATAATTAAATTATAATTTTATAACTAGAATTTATAATTATTCTTTATAATTATTAATATTTTATAATTAATCATTACCATCAATCCTCAAATTCTAATTAATTATTAATTCTAGTAATAGTAATAAATAATATTATTTATAGTAATAATTAATAATAATAATAATAATAATAATAATAATAATAATAATAATTTTAATTAAATCATTCAACTAATTTTTTATTTCAACTTTAAAAATAAAAAAAAATTGCTTGAAGCTTGATCAATGAGATGAAAAAGAAAATAGTTTTTGATATTATATATTATTAATTTATTAATAAAAGATGTTTTTATTTATTGTTTTCTTTCTCCATTTTTTTAAACAAAATGAAATGTAATTTTTCGCAGACTCGGAATATGAGGAAGAACAAATACCGAGATATCGGCCCGACTCCTTGGCGAGTCTTTGCAGAGCAACTCGATTTAGTGAAGCTGAGCTGAAGAGGATATATCGAGGATTCAAAGCCCAGTGCCCCACGGGAGTCGTCCGAGAAGAAACCTTCAAGTGCATCTATTCCCAGTTTTTCCCTCAAGGAGGTGAGTGTTGATCGAATCTCTCTTCTTCTCTCTCTCTCACTCTAAAAACACTATAAAAGTTGTTTAAACGACACCTTCTTTTAACTTTCATACAAAAACATTATTTACTTTTGTTTAAAAAAAAGGACAGAAACGGAAAAATGAAGAATCGAAAGTAAGAAACTTTTGTCAGTAAATAACTTTTGTAAACGGAAGTGTTTTTTAACAATTTTCTTTTTACATTTTTCTCCTGATGTTTCTTTTCTAACAATTCCCTCTCAAACATAAAAAAATAATTTTTTTTCTTTTGTCATTTTTTAACAATTTTTTTATTGTTTAAAAATTGGTACTATTTTTCTTTAACATTTTTTAAAAATATTTTTCTAACATTGTTCAACATTGTTCAATATATTTTAACATTTTTATTTTACCATTTTTCTGGAACATCTTTTTTTAATTTTTCACCACTTTTTGTAAATATATGGTTTTAAACATTTTTCTTCTAAACTTTTTGTTTTAACGAAAAAATTCTTTTTTAAAAGTAAAAATTCTCATGTACTTTGTTTATATTAGAGATTTTTTTACGAAATAATCAGTTTAGAATTATTTTAATTGGAAAAATGTTCGTAATAATTGCAAATAATCGCAAATTATTTATTTACAAGTAAATTGTGTTTCAATAAAAAGCATTTTAAAAATGCACTAAAAACACAATTTAAATTATTATTCCAGTAACATTTTTTGCATTTTATTAATTATAAAAAAAGCAATTTGGAATTATTTTAATTATTGGAACGTTTATACTGAAAGCCAATTTTAGTACAAAAATAATTGTATGGAAAAAAAAATATTTCGCCTTTTTTGCATGAGAAAAAAAACCATTTAAACTATCTCGCCGCTGAAAAGACGAAAAGCTCTCAAACTCAAGATTCGAAAATAACTTTCGAATAGAAGGATCACTTTCTAAATCCTATATATAGAGCCCAGAACCATTCTTATTTTCGGATTTTCGAACATTTTACTCATGTCTTTTATTGAAATTCGAACTCTTCCATTTCTATTCAATTTATATAAATAAAAATAACGTATTCAAAAATCGAAATAATGAAAACGATAATAGAAATAATAATTAGAATAATAATAAAAATAGCTATTCTAAAATAAAAAAAAACTCCAATTTAATAAAAAAAGCCCAAATTTTTATTTCATTTTTCAAAACACAATTTTTTTCTGAATCGGAAATAAATTCTATAACAGTTGTTTTGGAAAAAGCTCTTTTTTAATAAAAAAGCTCCAATTTAATAGAAAAAAGCCCAAATTTTATATTTGTCTAAAAATATTGATAAAAACAAATACCAGCGTCGTTTATCAAACCACAATTTTTTTTTTAATCGGAAATAAATTCTAAAACAGTTGTTTCGGAAAAAGCTCTTTTTTAATAAAAAAAAGCTCCAATTTAATAAAGAAGCCCAAATTTGCCATTTGACTAAAAATATTGTTAAAAACAATTGTCAAGACCAGCGTCGTTTTTCAAACCAATTTTTTTTCTGAATCGGAAATAAATTCTAAATCAGTTGTTTTGGAGAAAGCTCTTTTTTAATAAAAAAAAAAGCTCCAATTTAATAAAGAAGCCCAAATTTGACAATTGACTAAAAATATTGTTAAAAACAATTGTCAAGACCAGCGTCGTTTTTCAAAACACAATTTTTTCTGAATCGGAAATAAATTCTAAAACGGTTGTTTCGAAAAAAGCTCTTTTTTAATAAAAAAAAAAGCTCCAATTTGATGAAAAAAGCCCAAATTTGATATTCGACTCGTTTCTCAAGATACAAATTATTTTTGGATTGAAAATAAATTCTAAAAAAGTTTTGAGTTCCTCCGTGTTGCTGAAAAAGCTCTTCTTCAATAAAAAAAAGCTCCAATTTGATAAAAAAGCCCAAATTTGATATTCGACTCAAAAAATTGTTAACTAAAAATAAAAAAACATATTAAATAAAAATAATACTAATTAATACTAAAAAAGTAATACTAAGAGTACTAAATAAAAATAAGTAAAATACAGAAAAATAAAAAATAAAACAATAGTTATCGTGTTTTATGATTATTCATCTAAAAAAATTTTTAATTTATCATTAATTTTTATTTTTGTGGTGGAAACGTGAAAAGAAAATTATTCACAGCAAAGAGTTTGGATGAAATTTTTATTTCTGTTTCAAGAAAATGTCTTTAAATCTACCTCTTGAACGAACAATGTCGTTTTTGTAAAATGACTTGAGAGTGAAAGAGGGAGAGAGAGAGAGAGAGAGAGAGAGAGAGAGAGAGACATTAAATCCTCGATTTAATAAGTGTGCTAATAAAGTCAATGTAAAGAAAAGAAGCTGGGAGAACAAAAAAAAGTATAAGATCTCTGTAGCTGACTCTTATAGAATAAATGGAGGGAAAAAAAAGAAAAAAGTTAGTTCCCCTTTGAAAACTTTTATTGTCAGTTTGATCTTTTATTTGGCGGAATAAAACTTTCATTTCCATATAGAAAAATTTACCCTCTATCTTTTATTTTACCTTTATTTAATTGATCGTAATTTTTTTTTTTAATATCTTTCTTTTGTTGTTAAATTATATTGTTTTGCGTCTTGTCTACTGTGGCACTTTGTGTGAAAATTATATCTGTACTGTTCATGATCTTTTTTTTGTGATAATTAATTTTTAGTATTTTTTGTGATAATTTATTCTCAGTAATTTTTTTTTGCTAATTTCAGAATTAGAAAAATAAAAAAAAAATTTTTTTTATTTTTCCAATTCTGAAATTAGCAAAAAAAATTACTGAACCAAAAAAAAATTACTGAAACTACTACTGATAGTTTTAGTTTGAATTCTATTTATGTAATTTTTTATTTCTTTTCTTCGAATGGGGCAAAAGTAGTTTATATTGAAATAGTTTCTGTATTATTTATTGTTTCTTTTGTTTAGTATTATTTTTATTTCGCATTGTTTAGTATTTTTTTAGAGTTTGAAATTTAAATGAAAAGCATTATTAACTTGCACTAAAAAGACAATTAAATTCTCACAATCATTTTTTGTTCTCAAATTTCTCCACTTGAGAACGCCAAGGTCACCACCAGGTGGCAGAAAAAATTCCAGGAAAGAACTAAACTGCCACCTGGCGGTGACCTTGGCGTTCGCAGGTGGAGAATAGCGTCTCCATATTGAATCTCTAAAAATTCGTCAATATTCGTAATTCTATTATTATTTAATAATCAAATTTAGAGAGTTTTGACAATTTATATAAACGGATTAAAATTTTTAATTTAACTTTCCTTTTCGCTATTTTTATCCTCGACAATTTTTTTAGTCTTGGAATTAATTTTTCCAGTAAATAATCTGTGTTCAAAATTTTAAATAATTAGAATTTATTAAAGTTTATTAAATTTATTAATTATTAATTATTAAAGTTTATTAAAAGTTTATTAAATTTATTAATTATTAATTATTAATAATTTAAATAATTAGGAAGAAGCGAGGAAGAAAAAATCTAAAATTAAAATTATAAACTGAAAATTAAAAAAAAAATTCTTGCAGAAAAATAATAATTCGCGTGAGTCTCATCCGTAAAATTATCACGTCAGAAGAACGACATTTTTATAATGAAAAGTAGAATCAGAACGAGAAAATCAGAAACTAGAGTAGAAAAAAGAGTAAAACTCGGTCCTTGGTTTATGCAATAAAATGCTGATTACATGATTCTGTTTGATCAGTTTTCTTCCGTTTCGATACACTGAATACTTTTTTTTTTGTTTTTTTCTTTCTCATGCCTTTTTTGTGTTTGATTTTTTTTTCCTCTTTTCTTTCGTGAACATTTGCAGTAAATTTGAGAAACCCTCGAATACATACGTGATGTGATTTCAATTCTCGATATAGCATTTGACCACCCCATAGTTCACTTCCGTTATTGGGCGTCATAAAAAAAAGTATATATGTACATTCCCACTGTATTTTATCTCACAAAAAGCCACAGTTGCCGACAGGTAATCTTTCACGCCCACTGAACAAGCACAACAATAATATAGCTTTACTTAAAGTCTTTTCTCTCAAAACGCACATTTCATATTTTTTTTTTATTTTCCACACACACTATTCTTTTATTTTTCCTCGTCTGTGAAAATAAATATTTTATTTATTTATAAACAATTTTTTCAATTTATTTAAACTGACTTGAAAAAATAAAAATTGCCATACTATTCTTTTTCCGTTGATCATGAAAATAAATATTTATTTAAACATAGGAACGCATTTGAAAAAATAAAAATTATCTTGAATATTAAAAATAAAATGTTGAGATGTTAAAAAAAATTAAATTTTTCATTTAAAATATTAAAATAAGAATTATTTCCGCAGTTTTATAAAAAAAATATAAAAAAATGATTATTAATTAGAGAAAAATGATAAGCTAAAAGATATTATTAATTAAAAAAATTTGAACAAATCTTAGCGCGAGGTGTGTTCGGTATTACATATATATAGTGATAAAACTTAACTCGAGAGAAGTCGGACAAGTAGATGCGGGAAGAATTCCTCGGTGAGTAGTAAAAAAGTACGATAAATCAGACGGTCGAGCATATTATTTACGGGGTTCCCTTAATTAAAGCCGAATCCGTAAGTTATAACGCTTAATTAGATCCTTCCTTCACTCTCTCGTTAATCTCGATCTTTTTTCAACGTAAAGTGCCCTGTTTCTCTTTGTATTTCCATTATATAGCTAAACAAAATATACCCACCTTGATTTTATTTTATACTTTTAAAACTACAATTGTCACGGTTGAGAAAATAGAGGTAAGTAACATTGACAAGATCCAATAATCTTAGTCATGATTCGGGTTTTTTTTTAACAAGGGAAGATAAAATGAAAATTACCGTACTTTTAATTTGTTGAATTTATTTAAATTTAAATCTTTTAATATTATAATAATTTTAATTAATATTTAATAATAAATTTAAATATTTACAAATATTTTATATAGAATTTTAGTAAAATATTTTTTTATGAAAGCTAGTGAAGATTCTATAGAATTTTTAATTTTACTATTGTAATAATAATATTGTTTAATTATTTTCAATATCTAGAATTTTCATAAAATTTCTCGAAAGAATTCAATTATTTAAAAGAAAATTGATAAACTTCATCCAAAATTCAATTATTTTCATATATAATAAAATCTCCACAGGAATTCAATAAATTTAAAATGGCATTTTCAAAAAACTTTCAAAAAAAATCAATTATTTAACAAAATTTTTATACAATTCTTCACAGTAATTTAATTACTTTCACTAATAATTACATTTTTCATGGTAAATCAATTTTGTAACAAAATTTTTTATAAAATTCTAAGCAAGAATTCAATTATTTTCACAAATATTAAAACTCATGGAAGAATTTCAATTATTTTTAATACTATTTTAAATTAATTAATAGAAAAATTCAATTATTTTCACAAATAAAATTTTCCACAAGAATTCAATTATTTAAAATCAAATTTTCATAATATTTATTATATTTCGGAAAAATTATTTATTTAAAACAATAGTTATACAATTCTTTTGAAGAATTCAATTATTTTCAAAAATAAAAAAATTTTTCCCAAAAATTCAATTCTTTTTTAAACATTTTAATAAAATTTTTCTCAATAATTCAATTATTTTGATAAATAATAAAATTCTTCTCAAGAATTCAATTATTTTTGACAATTTCAAGAAAACTCTTAACAGCTATTCAATTATTTTCATAAATAATTAAATTCATCGCAGGATTTCAATTATTTTTAATATAATTTTACATGAACTATTCGACAAATGTAATTATTCTTAAAAATCTGATTTCAATTCCTCAAAAAAATCAATTAGTTAAAAAGATATTGGAATTTTTCACAGGAATTCAATTATTTTCAAATATTTTAATAAAATTGTTCGAAAGAAATTAATTATTTTAAATACAATTTTAATTAAATTTTTTTGAAATAATTCTATTATTCTTTTAGATTTTAATAAAATTCTTCCCAAGAATTCAATTATTTACATAAATAATTCATCGAAAAAATTTATTTATTTATTATGTCGATAAATAAAAAAATTATTCCTGAAAATTCAATTATTTAAAAAAAATTCTAATAAAATCGTTCGCAAGTAAAATTCTTCTCATAAATTCAATTATTTTCGAAAATTTTAATAAAACTCTTAGCAACTATTCATTTATTTTTATAAATAATAAAATTCATCGCAGGATTTCAATTATTTTTAATACAATTTTGTAGGGGTTGCTCGAAAATGTAATATTGTAAATTCAATTCCTTGAAAAAGTCAATTATTTACAAAAATATTAGAATCTTTCACAGAAATTCAATTATTATTTTCAAATATTTTAATAAAATTGTTCGAAAGAAATCAATTATTTTAAATTAAATACAATTTTAATTAAATTTGTTTGAAATAATTCAATTATTCTTTTAGATTTTAATAAAATGTTACCCTAGAATTCAATTATTTCCATAAATAATTCTTCAAAGAAATTTAATTATTTATTTATTTATTTATTATGTCGATAAATGACAAAATTATTCCCAAGAATTCAATTATTTTGAGGCATTTTCATAAATTTCTTTGCAAAATTCAATTCTTTTCATAAATAACAATATTCATCACAAGAATTCAATTATTTTTAAAAGTACCTAATAAATTTCTTTTTGGAAATTCAATTATTTAAAAAAATTCTAATAAAATCATTCGCAAGAATTCAATTATTTTCGTAATTAAAATTTTTGAATTTTCTTTGTAAATTTTCTTTGTAAATTTTAATTATTTTTAAAAACTTTTCGCAATTCAATGATTTTCAATATTTACTTTTTTCATAAAATTTCCAAACAAAATTCAAGTGTTTAAAAAAGTTTTTGTAAAAATCTTTCTAAGAATTAAATTCTTTTCATGAATATTAAAAATTTCTCAGGAATTCAATTATGTAAATTAGAATTTACATAAAATTAGTCGAAAGAAATCAATTATTTAAAAATTTTTATAAAACTCTTCCCAAGAATTAAATTATTTTAAAAATACTTAAATTCTTTCATGAATAATAAAATTCGTTAAAATAAAATAATAAAATACAGAATGGAATTTTTGTAAGTTTTGTGAAGTGTCTAAAACGAGTTTTTTTTATCGCCAAGTTTAATTTTTCGATAGCTACTGTGTTTAGTTTGAAAGCTACTTTTTTAAAATTAATTATCGAGTGCAATGTCTAATTACACTGAAAAAAAAATATTTTATTCAAATAACCGATTACTTTACTAAATTATCAATTAAATATTTACTTGAATCAAATAATTTTGATTTTTTAGTCAATTAAATTTTATTTGAACCATTAATTTCAGTATTTGAAGCAAATATGAACTAAACCATTTAATTGACTCAAATAAATATTATTTGATTCAAGTAAATATTTAATTGATTAATTGATAATAGTCAAGTAATTGATTATTTGAATCAAATAAAATTTTTTTTTTTCAGTGTATTTCTTAATCTAATACAAAACCTAAAAATCAGTGCGACATATGCCACAAAAAGGAACTGTCATATTGGTTCAATTTTTCCCTTCCGCATTTATTTTAAAATTCTCTTTACACAATATATGCATTGGATTATTTTTCCCAGCACGGAAAGTTTTTTTTTGTTGACATTTTTAGGTACATATAAAGTTAGGAAACAGCCTCTTTGGATATGTCTGGCGTAGAGGGTAAACTTCGTATCTTGTTTACGATAAGATCGAGTCTCTGGGAAGATCTTAAATTTATTATAACTCCTAGTACACATAGAAGGAAGCCAATGGAATTGAACAGGGAACAATAGAGAGATAGTGACTTGTATATGCTTTTGAGATTGTCTTCTATAGACATGTTGCTTTTAAACACGTTCTATCCAAATCACACAACGTAATTTAGGTCGTATTGCGCTTAACATTCCCAAAGGAATTTTTATTCCGTATTTATTTTCTCTCTTTTTTTTTTTTTTTGCTTTTCACAAGTCGATTCGAATCAACAAAATCTTTTGAATTGAGAATTTTTCAAGTACTCCGTCGAGAGTGAGGGTGGTAATAATAAATGTCCCGCATTTTTTTCAAAGTGGGAAAAAAAAATTAAAACTACTTCTCGTTTTCTATTGAAGGAAAAACGAGTTCGATAAGTTAAGAAAATTATTTTTTTTTATTTTGTTTCTTGAATTTAAATATTTCTTTATGGATTTATTGACTCAAAAAAATTTTTTCGGATTTTTCTTTTAATATTTTTTTCTGTCCTTAATTTTTGAAATTGAAAATTTGTTTCGAAATTACTCGAAAAACTTTAAATTATAAATTAATCAAATCAAATTGTTTGTTTAATTTAAATATTTCTTTACGGATTTATTGACTCAACAAAATTTTCCTATTTTTCTTTTAATTTTTTTTTCTGTCCTTAATTTTTGAAATTGAAAATTTGTTTCGAAATTACTCGAAAAACTTTAAATTATAAATTAATCAAATTTCGATTCTTGATTCAAGAATCAAAAAAAAAAAAAAAGAAAGAAATCAAGAATCGAAATTTGATTAATTTATAATTTAAAGTTTTTCGAGTAATAATGAGAAAAAAAATGTTAATAAACAAAGAAATAAATAACAATTATAATATTATTTATGATTGCAGCAAATGCGAGTCAGTATGCTCATTACGTTTTCAACACTTTGGACCAGGATCACAGTGGACTTTTGAGCTTTGAGGTGAGTCTTTTCTTTTTTCATCCCTTATTCTATATATAAGAATATTTTCTCTTTCTTCCCTCGCACCTTCATTTATTATCCTGCCCAACCGTTTCCTCATACTCACTATGGTTTTAGACTTTATTTACTCCTCTCTCGTATATATTTGCCATGTAGCCTTTCCATAATGCCAAGCATCATGCCACTTGTACGTGAGTTGAAACTGAGTAAATAATTTATAGACTACACTGGATATTATTAGCATACGCAAACAAAAGTAAATATCATTTTCTTTAAAGCTCACAATTTTCTTCACCAAGTTTTTCTTTTTTTTCTTTCTTTTTCTTCATTCCTCTTTTTCATTCCTTCTTTTTTTCTTTTAACTATATAATAACAAACTCTTCCTTTGTTTACACTACTTTCATTGTATTTCTTTCATTTCTTTTGCTAACTTTCAATTTAATTTTCTTATTAGCACACTTTTTAATCAAAAACTTTTCTTGTTAATTCTTCACGTTACTCGATTTTTATATGGGGAAAAAAATATAATACCTACACAGTAAAAATTATTATTAACTTTATTACTATTATTATTATTATTTTATTACTGTTATCATCAAAAAATTTTAATTACAGTTTTTCAAAAGACTAATTTTTTTCATAATTTATAAATTAAAGTATCAAAAACTTGAATATTTATTCAAGTTTAAATAAATATGTAAATTAATAAATTTATCATTTTTAAACATAATTATTTAAATATTATTAGTTTTACAACAATTAAAATCTTGAAAAACTTCAATTTAAAAATCTACCGAATAATTATTATTCTAAAAATTCATACCTATAACGATTCTCAAATTCAATTATTTTATTAAAAGTTTTAATTTTAACTGAAATTCATTTTTAAATCAATTAATGTTCGAAAATTCTACGAGTATTCAATTACATAAATACAAAAATAATTAATTATTTCTTAAAATTTACGTCACACGTAAAGAATTTTATCAAAAATTTTTAAAAATAATTGAATTCTTTAGAAGAATTTTAAGAAAATTTTTAAAAATATTTACATTTTTCGAGATATTTATTATAAATAATATTAAAAACAATTGAAATCCTACAAAGAATTTTATTATTTAGGAAAATAATTGAATTATTAAAACTTGTTTAAATAATTGAATTCATGTGAAGAGTTTTATTAGTTTTGAAAATAATTGAATTCTTACGAAGAAATAATTTAAAATTTTTTTAAATAATTGAATTCTTGCGAATAAATTAATTAAAAATCTTATTAAACAATTGAAATTCTGAGAAGAATTTTATTACTCATGAATATAATTGAATTCTTGCAATCAATTTTATTTGAATTTTTTTGATGATTTGAATTCCTGCTAAGAATTTTATTAAAACTTTTTTAAATAATTGAATTCTTGTGAAAAATTTTATTATTTTTGAAAATTGTTGAATTCTTGCAACGAATTATATTAAAATTTTTTAAAATATTTAATTGAAATCCTGAGAAGAGTTTTATTAGTTTTGAAAATAATTGAATTCTTGCGATGAAATTAATTCAAATTGTTTAAAAAATAATTGAAATTCTGCGATAAGTTTTGTCATTTATGAAAATAATTAAATTCTTGCAATCAATTTTATTTGAATTTTTTTGATGATTTGAATTCCTGCTAAGAATTTTATTAAAACTTTTTTAAATAATTGAATTCTTGTGAAAAATTTTGTTATTTTTGAAAATAGTTGAATTCTTTTAACGAATTATATTAAAATTTTTAAAAATATTTAATTGAAATCCTGAAAAGAGTTTTATTAGTTTTGAAAATAATTGAATTCTTGCGAAGAAATTAATTAAAATTTCCAAAATTAATTGAATTTCTGAGAAGAATTTTATGATTTACGCAAATAATTGAATTCTTGCAATCAATTTTATTAAAATTTTTTTAAATATTAGAATTCCTAATAAGAATTTTATTATTTATGAAAATAATCGAATCCTTGCGAAGAAATTGATTACAATTTTTTTTTATTAAATGAATTTCTGAGAAAAATATTACTACTCATGAAAATAATTGAATTCTTGCAATCAATTTTATTTACATTTTTTTAAATATTTGAATTCCTGTTAAGAATTTTATTAAAATTTTTTTAAATATTTAATTGAATTCTTGAGAATAATTTAATGAATTATAGAAATAATTGAATTCTTGCAAAGAATTTAATTAAAATTTTTATATTCAAGAAATTTAAATACAATTTTATTAAAAATATTACAATTCTTAGAAATAAATTTTATTAATAGGTATTAAAATAATTAAAAATAATTAAAAATAATTAAAAATAATTAAAAATAATTAATTTCTTTTGGTGAATTTTGTTATTAAAATTTGTTTAAATAATTGAATATTTTTAAATCAATTTTAATAAAAATTTGGGAAATAATCAATTTCTTTCAAGGAATTTAATTACTATTTTATTAAAAAATATGTGAATTCTTATAAAAAAATTTTATCAAAATAATTGATTTCTTTTGGAAAATTTTATAAAAATTGTATTTAAAATAAATGAATTTCTGTGAAAATTTTTATTTTATTTATATGAAAAAATTGATTTTTTGGAATCAGGTAAGAATTTCATTATTTGCAAAAATAATTGATTTCTTGAAAAAAATGTTCTTAAAATTCGTTGAAAATAATTAAATTGTTTCAATGAATTTTATTAAAATGTTTTGAATTGTTTTTAAGTATTTTATTAAAATTTTTTAGAATAATTTTTTTATCTCAACTATTAGAGGCTTTAAAGTAGTGCCAATTTACAAAATTTGAATAAATAAATAAAAAGAAAATTTATTCATTACTTATTATTATTATTATTAAATTTCGAAAGAAGAAATAATTATTCCAATTATTATTTTGCTATCTCAGCAATAATAGTACAGAAATAATGATACAATACTGAAAATTAATACCAAAGAATTGATAAAATAGATATCATGTGATAAGTATATAATAATGAACGATGCACATCGATATCTTTATTATCGCGATAAATATGAGAATTTCCGCATTGCGTGCAAAAAGGCACTAATTTTCTCTCCTAATTATGTAATTAAATAAATCCGCAGAGCAAAATTATATATAGTGGCTGGTGAATTAATGACACACAGCCAGTGACCACCCACACACATACACTCTATACACCAAAAATACCAACGCTATATTAAATGTTCAAAGTGTGAGAGAAGAAATGAGCGCGATTTATAATTCACGGTTGAAGAAGGAAAAAAATTCTTTTCACACTGACACTTACAGATTCATAAAAATTATTTTTCTCAAGTAAATGTGAAATTCTTTTTTTTTTTTTCTTGTCCTCGCGTCTTAAACGTGATTCCGTTCTTCAAAGCTTTCTTTTTTTTGAGAGAGAGAGAGAAAGAGAAAGAGGAAAAAAAATAACGACCACCCTGGGAATGATAAAGAAAGCCAACAAGAAGTACCCTCTTAATTAACCGAAAATTTTTATATTACTTTTTAAACTTGCGGGATGAAATATGGTTTTTTTCTTTGCTTCTTAAACCATTTTACATTTCTTGGTTGCATTTCCCTGCTGGATATTAAATAGGAAAAAATATTTTCAGGGGAATCTTCTTTTACGTTTTTGTGTTTAATTTTTTTTTTCCTTTTTCTTGAAAGATTATATTTTTTAAAGATAGATTAATAGAATTCATAATTATTGAGGCATTTGACACATTTTTATTTCTTTTTGCTTCCTCATGAGGAAGCTTTGCATTGGTGACGATTTTCAATTTTTCAAAAGAAGGTTATATGGACTTATTTTCATCTAAAACGAATCGATTGATGTATACAAAGTATATATTTTATCAAAATTTATAAAATTAATAAATTTTTTTCTTTTTTACAAAAAATTCAAATTTTGTATTATTTTCATAATTTATTTAATATTAATATTAATATTTTGAAATGATTATTCTATCATAAAATAGAAGGAATTGGCAAATGAAAGTGTAAATTTCACCAAATATTTATACTACAACTTATAAATGATTTATATAATTTTATTTTTAACAAATCTTCTAGACGAACCCTTTTGTACATAGTTTTTCAAAAGTTTGCAAAACCGCAATTTTTATATATTGAGGAAGCTAATTGATCATAAAATGAACAACTTGTTTGTATAATTTCTATTTTCTATTCAAGATAGCAAAATTGGCTTAAAATTTTCCATTCAGGGAAATATATTTTTTAATAGAATTATTTTTTCATATAATTTTGTAAAGTAAGTCATAATGATTATATCTTCGAATACATTTTCTTTCTATACTTGTTTATTTGTTTACTTTTGCTTATTTGTTTATCCCGTTGTTTGATTATTTTTTGTTTGTTTCCTTTTTATTTAATTATTTTTTGTTTGTTTTATTATTGTTATTTATTTTTTTATTTATTTTTTTATTCATTTGTTTCTTTATTTGTTTGTCTGTTTTTTGTATCTTTGGTTGATTTTGGTTTATTTGTTTATTCTTTTGTTTCATTTTTTTTGTTTTCTTGATATTTTATTTTTTTTATTTATTTGTTTTTTTATTTGTTTGTTATACTTATTTTCTTTGAATATTTTTTGTTTGTTTCCTTTTTATTTTATTATTTTTTTATTGTTTTATAGTTATTCTATTTGTTTCTTTATTTGTTTGTCTATTTTTTTTCTTTGACTGATTTTGGTTTATTTTTTTATTTGATTATTCTTTTGATTTTCTTGTTATTTTATTTATTTTTTATTTATTTGTTTCTATATTTTTTTGTCTAAAAACACAATTTTTGTTTTTTTAGTTAATTTTGGTTTATTAATTCGTTTTTTTCTTTTGTTTTTATTTATTTCTTTGGTTGATTTTGGTTTATTTGTTTGTCCTTTTGTTTCATTTTTTTATTTTCTTGTTATTTAATTTTTTTTTATTTATTTCTTTCTTTATTTGTTTGTCTATTTTTGTGTCTTTGGTTGGT